CCACGCACCCACGCACCCACGCACCCACGCACCCACGCACCCACGCACCCACGCACCCACGCACCCACGCACCCACGCACCCACGCACCCACGCACCCACGCACCCACGCACCCACGCACCCACGCACCTACGCACCCACGCACCCACGCACCCACGCACCCACGCACCCACGCACCCACGCACCCACGCACCCACGCACCCACGCACCCACGTACCCACGCACCCACGCACCCACGCACCCACGCACCCACGCACCCACGCACCCACGCACCCACGCACCCACGCACCCACGCACCCACGCACCCACGCACCCACGCACCCACGCACACCCACCACCCACACACCCACACACCCACACACCCACACACCCACACACCCACACACCCACACACCCACACACCCACACACCCACACACCCCCACACCCACACACCCACACACCCACACACCCACACACCCACACACCCACACACCCACACACCCACACACCCACACACACACACCCACACACCCACACACCCACACACCCACACACCCACACACCCACACACCCACACACCCACACACCCACACACCCACACACCCACACACCCACACACCCACACACCCACCTGGTGGTCCCCCCACAACATTTGTGCAAATGGAGTTCCGCATGTGAACATTGCCAGGTTCATGATGAGCACAGTGGCTCTTGAGCTCCTCAAGGGTCAGGCAGGTCATGCCCTTGCGTTTGCGGTTGCCTCGGGGGAGTCGCATCCTTCCGATTCTGAAGGCTTCCGGGTGGCCGCGGACGATCGACTTCTCCATGCCCTTTGGATAGGGATGTTCGCCGGATTGGCGCTGGCTCAGCTGGCGAAGAGTAGGGTACAAAGGGTCAAAGCAGGAAAAGGCTCAACAAATGAAACGTAGGGCGGGAAAACCTTGAGCAGGTGATGAGCCATATTTGTTTGCCGCAGTTTTGCCCACACCGCATTTGGCAGGTTGCTTTTAACACGGGCCACTCAAAGGGATGGACAAACAGACGCTCACACCCTTTGCCCTTTCCCGCCAAGCTACGAGGCACTTAGGCTATTTGTTGTGGGTGCCGACGTCCTTGGATGCTCGACATGGCTCCGCGGGCTAGGATGAATTGCGCCGGCTCTTAGGAGCAAGCTGACACTTTTGACCCTCCGGTCCTGTTTGCTTCACACTCGTCGCTGTTTAGCCTGGGGTGCTCTCAAAGATCATTTGCAAGAATCATGTCGCGCATGCAAGAATCATTAGTCTCTTCGCCGAGGTTGGGGAAGGCGCCAAAGAACCTGGAAGACCTGGAGTTGGAAGTGACCAAGGATAAGTGTCTTGCTGAGTTCTGTGCCAGACGCGCACACACACACACGGCATGGCGCAAGGAATCCCAGTTGTTGCCCAAACCTAGAAAATTGCAGGCTGGTCCACCCTGGAAAGGTTATTTGCTCCGTGAAGCTTGGTCACTGAGGTGCACACTCATTACCACATCGAGTGGGGCAGCTTGGCAAAGGTTCATGTTGCTTTCGCGGGGAGTGCTTGCCGTCTTGAGTTGTGGGCTTGCCTAGAAGCATTTCACGAGTAAGCGTCTGCGGGGCTAAGGAGGTTGAGCGCCTTGCTGCTGTGTCCGCCATTGCCATTAGTCGTCCCTTTGCTGCAGTCCCTTCATGCTGGAGAGGCCTGATGGCGCATCTGTTCGAAACGCAGGAGTGAAGATGTCATGCATTTTGGTTCTGCGGCCAAGGAACGAATGGCACAACATTGATGCAACTTGGAAGTTGGGCGACTTAAGCTGCATCTAGGGATCGGGCTTTGGCTTTCGCTCTAGCAAGCATAGCCCACATGCACGTGACGCCCAAAGCCCCGCTTCGGCCATCAAGCATGTGGTATTGCTGTGGCGGTACGCAAGGACCCGGAACAGGGAGAGCTCAAGGTGGGCTGCAAGCTGCCGGGCACGAAGCAGGAAGCTGGGGAGACGGCTACTCGGTGAGAACCTCCAAGGGGGGCCGGCGCATACCTGAGCCTAGAGTTACATCGTTCAGGTGTTCATGATTCACCCAGAAGCGATCAAAGACTGCCATCCGGGTGTTCCAAAATGGATTGTCAAGACCTAGCCCTGGCGCCACCTCAGCCACGGTTGCGTTTTGCCTCTCGCTGGGCGACCCCAAACCCGCGTGGCAAAATCGCAAAAGCTTTCCAGCGGGCTCAATGCAGAGTTCGCTGAGCGGAACCCCTCAGCCTTCAGCAACTGCCCCACGAAAGCCCGGAAACCTTCCGGAACGCTTGCTGTTGGGGATGCACCTGGCCTTCTTTGATTTTCTAGTTTTGTTCCTGTTCTGGGACTTGCTTTGGTTTGAACACAGGCGGTTGAAGCCATGCAGCGCCTGCTGAAGAAAGACCTGCTGGCCTTCAGCGAACAGATCGCACTGCCCTGAGCATGTCAGGGCGCAGCGTTTTCGTTTCGCTGCTTATTGTCTAGGTTCGTGTCCCCGTGTCTCCAACTCAGGACCTTCAGCAAGCCATCGCGAAGCATGAACTAGAATGGTCGCGCTCGGAGAAGTACAACTTGAGAACCAAGTACTTGCGCACCATCTTTCAGCTGACTGCTGCTTGGCAGGTCACGGGGGAAGAGGGTGCTGCGGGGGGTGGCTTCGGCGGTTTTAGGCCACTCCCTATCCAAGCCACCGATTCTTCTGTCAGAGCCAGGGTGCATTCTTCTGTTGTGCTCATCGTCACTCGAGGTGGATGATGATGATGATTGGCCAGAGCTACAAAGCGGCTTGTTTGGCTCAGTTGTCCTACAAGGTTGTCCTAGCTGGATTTTGGCCAAGGACTCCAGAGCTATGACAAGGATGGAGTACCAGGAAAAGCTCGCATTTCGGCGAGGAGGTCGAGGACCCTATGCGTGCCGGCCTGCTTTCCTGTCCGCCTGCCTGCCTGCCTTCCTGCCTGCCTGCCTTGCCTGCCTTGCCTGCCTTGCCTGCCTTGCCTGCCTTGCCTGCCTGCCTGCTTTCCTGTGCGCCTGCGAGCTTTCTTGCGTCCACTGTGGGAGAAGGGTGCCGTGCTTGTGATAGCGCCTGCCTGCTGCCTGAAACTATGAGCCCATAAGAGTGTGCTGCCTTCCTTGTTCCGGAGTGTCGTTTGCAACATGCAGGGAACATAATGTAAGCACATGAAGGGAGGGAGCACGTCTTTTTCATGGGTTTTGTGTTTGTTTCACTGCTGCATGAATGCAGGCCTTCTGCCAGGTTCTGTGCGATTGCTTCTTTTTTGGCGGGGCGGCCTGGCCGACTTTCAAGTGAAGGTTGCACAGGTTGCGCAGGTTGCACAGGTTGCACAGGTTGCACAGGTTGCACAGGTTGCACAGGTTGCACAGGTTGCACAGGTTGCAGTTACGTTGGGCAGGATGCTACCAGGCAGCTTCGGCGCCGACGACGATGACATCGAGCCATGCATCGCAGACTTTGCAGTCACTTGCGGCATTTAGTTTTAAGCGTCAAGAAGCGTCAAGGAGCGGTTTGGGTTGGAGCGAGTGCCAAAGGGCTCACACAAACGAGGAGGTGATTGGCTTACCTGATGGAGACGGCCAGCGACTGCTGATATGTGGTTGGCTGTGCCCGGGCAGCAAGTTTCTCCCAAGACTTGCAGGTGTCTTACTGCAGTTGCCCTGCAGGCGTGATGAGGATGCAGAGCGCTTCAAAGGCTGGCTGCATATGTGCTCGTCGAAGAAAAGACAGCCCACTTCAAAGTTTTGGACAGGGATTGTTGAAGAGAACCGGGATCAGTCCTTGGTATTTCTTCGGAGGCTTCGCTGCCCGTGCGGTTCGTTCCCAACCTGACTGGCTTTGTTCTACCCCGGCCATTTCAGACCTGCTTGGCGTTTGGCACCCGCTGGCAGGCGAGGGTGATGGCAAAGTTTCCTTGCAGAAGGCCATGGCGAGGATTCACATAGATGACGCTTAGCAGAATATCCCTAAATTCTTGGCTTGAGAAATGCACAGGCCTAACGCTGGACTTTTCAACCTCAACCTGCGCAGCATTGTTCATTTGGTTGGGGCTTATTAGCGCCTCTAAACTTTGCCCATGCGCGCGCGTCTTGTGGAGCCAACCGGGGCGCTCTGAGGAGTTGATCCTGAGCTCTGTCAAGGACTGGGCTTGAAACTCGCAGTGTGGGGTTAAGTGGGTCTCAGCAAGGCTCGCGTTGTGCAGGGCGGTTTTGCTGGTTTGGTTTGTCAGATGCACCGCCGGAGAGTTGGATGATTGATGTCATTGCCTTGATCGGGATACATTCTGAACTCTCGTGCCATCCAGAAGGTCATTTACTGCCAGGAGCGCCTGGCATGCTGTCAGCTGCCCCCCAGCGGCGAGATGGTCCTCTCAGAGGGGGACAGGTTCTCGAGCCTCACCGAACCTCGGGCTGCACAGCGGGAAACTAAAGTCTTGTGAAAGTTACAGCTTGTTGACATGGAAGGCATCAGGGTTGCTTTGTCGTGGCCTGTTGGAGTTCACCACTTGTGCGTGCAGCGCCAAGATCAGGGCTTGTTTGGTCTGGGTTTGTTCCTGTGCCGTTTCTCACGCTTGTGAAGGCATGCTGAGGTTCGGTGAGGGCAGAAGGAAACACTTCAGTGCTGGATTGCGAAGTGACCATGGGTTGATGACAGGGGCAGGATCCCGGGGGGGGGGGGGACTGCAGCCCAGTTTGAGGTTGTACCGCAACAGTCGTGAGTCGATGGTCTTCGCACCGCCAAAATTGCAGTGACCGGCCCGTCAAACCGCAGAACCCGAAGCTGCGTTGCTCGTCTCAAGGGCGAGTACTGCAGCTGACCGGAATATATTGCATGAGGAAGGCGGCGCCGGGCAAATGTGAGCAGATGAAGTCGTTCTGAGAAAGCGCGCAATGCTGCTTGAATGGGTTGAATGGGCCAGTTTGCGGTATATGTTTTTCTGTTGTGCATTGGTTGAATTAGTTGAATTGAGCTTGAAGCCATTCAATGGGCGGAAACGCATTCTGTTGATTGCCTGCCGCATTTTCCTGAGCGCCAGATCCTCAGCCTGAACGCAGTTGGCAGTGGTCAAAACTGGCCCCTGCAAGTCTTGGCTCGGCCGACGCAAGCCCGCACGCCTGGTTTTGGGGAGAACATGTTTGGGCACGAGACATGTGAGTGGGATGACCAAGAGCGCAATATTGTACGAGAGGTGCTTTTGTTTGCTTGTGCCCCGATTGTGGCCAGTTCACCTGTAATACCATGTTCTGATTGGCAAACTACACGGAGGCGTGCTGGGTATTGCCAAACTTCAACCGGCAGAGAAGATTGGGCAGGAGCTGCCTGATTACCAAGTTCCTCGTCTCACAGATTATTCGCACATGGACCTACTTGTGGTGGGGAAGTGGCCAGGAATGACCGAAATGTCAACAGTCAAAGTGCTGAAAGCTCGCGTTGGCTCGCTTCCCTGCCATTGGGCGCCCAAAAGGTTTACCAGTTGGGGGAAGGCGTGGAAGCTTAAGCTTTCTTCATCTTCCGGCTCATCCCAAAGAGGAGGCCATGCCTTGTACAAGAGATGCTCGGACCTCGGAAGCAAACTCTCTCAGCTTCTTTTGCCAACTTTTGCTTTGCTTGAGTTGCTTGCTGCTTGCTGCTAGCTGCTTTTTGCATTGCGGTTGCTTACTTGTCAGGCATTCGCCAAGTTGTGCTGAAACGTCTGGGCGCAAACGGGGATATTGCAGCGAGGGTTCGTGTTCCCTTTTGGGAGGGTGTTCGGTGGTGCTTGCCTCTTTGGGTACTGGAGCTCCAACAGCCACACTTTGCAGAACAGCGCTTTGCAGAACAGCTTGCGTTATGAAAAGTAAAGCCCCAACGCGCTGCGGATCGGAGCAGCCCAAACCGTCGTTTCGAAGACTGTTTTGAAGTCTCTTCTTTTTTTCCGCCATTCTTGCCTTCGTGGAGCCGTGGAGCTGCGCTTTTGAATCAACTGCAACAAGCAATCAGAGAGAAGAGCAACCTTCAGCTTGGCTTGAGCAGCTCATTCCTTAGATTCCTTCGCAAGGCTGCTTTGTGAAGCGTGCTGAAGCCGTCCATTTGCTTGTCTCACTTCGGCTCAAGTTTTCTTTGCTTGAACAAAGGCAGGTCCAGGAGGCTCAATGTTCTGGCTTTTGGCTGTGGGCACCGTGGCCATTTGCGCGGATGCCATGGACCAAGCAGACTCGTCTGGCGCATTGCGAGGAGCACGCCATTTGCAAGTGAAGGACTCAACAAACTTGTTCGAACCTCAGTGCAAGCCTGGGTATGTTGATGTCACAGGCGGCCAGGCCTATTATTGGTCCTGCGCCTTTTACTGCGAAGGCGGTGCATACTTCAGCACCCCCTTCTGCAGATGCGCCTGCCAACTGCCGCAGACGGGAGGGGAGCAGCCAGTTGTTACGGCCCCACCAAGCACAACTTCCGCTGCTTCTTATGCGCCTGGGGGGGTCATTGTGACAACGGCAACAAGTTCAACTGCCGCACCCAATGCGCCAGTCCACGAGGTACCAGTTGGTGAGCTCGACGAATGGGAGTATACTCCTCCATCCTTGGGCTACGGGGTCCAGACTCCAGCACCTCAGCACCAAGCAGCGCCCAGGAACGCAGACAACATGGATCTGATGGTTCTGGTGTTGGGCATTGGCGGTGGTATCATCGCTGCAACCTGTGCTGTCTTGGTTTGGGTGAATTTGATGGGTTGCCCCTGCTTGAGGCGCAAACGGGGCAACTCAATCGCAAAGCCACCGGTGCTGAAGATGCACTCGCCGCAAGAAACCTGTCCGCAGCCTTTGCAGGTGGATCCGCCTTCCCGCAGGTCCAGCGTATCCACTGGTTCCTCAAGCAGAGAGCTGCGGCCGGGAAGCTCGAAGCAGTCCAGCAACACTGTTTTCTCAGAAGCTTCTGGAAGGCAAGTTCGAGTATCCTGGAAGATCAATGCAGGAAATGAGCTCCCAGGCGGCCGTTTGCAGCTTCCGGCTAGCAAAAATTCTTGCACGAGCACAAGCACTCGTAGCGCAAGTAAAGGCAGCTGCTGCAGCAACGCCAGCGGAGGCAGAGAAGGGCATTGGGCTTTCAAAGGGCCTTCAAACCAGTCGCCGTCAGAACTCCAAGACCGGCCGCGAAAACTCTCCAAAGTCGGCTTGCAATGAGGGCTGCGCAAGGCGACTGTTTTATCCGCAAGGTGGTCTCAACATGTGTCTTTGTTTCATTGTGTGTAAGAACCGCGGACTCTTGTAAAGCACACTTACGCGCCAAAGTTTTCTTTGTGTGTAAGCAGTTGTATGCATACACTTATGTCAGTGCATTCATACACATTTATGTCTGTCAGTTTCCTTGTGAGCTAAGCAACGCAAGGAGAGGTGCAGATTTCAACAGCCGTTTATCGCACCCGGGAAGATGGCTGCAGCGCATTTCCAAGAGATGCGCTCCGCTTCCACGGTCCGGAGGCCTTGGGAAGGGACCGCCACATGCAGCGGTTCTGAACCCCGCAGCGTTGATTGTCACAGTGATTCGGGTTTTTCCACCTGCAATTTTGCTGTCGCTAGCGTCGCTAGCCCAAAATCATTCTCGGGATCCAGTCGGGCTTCTGCCGGGCATGGCTTGTCAGCGCCAAGCCGAAGGCAAAGACCTTCAAGAAAGCCGCTGGACCCCTCATCGTCGCTCTATGTACGTTTAAACTTGTGGCTCGCGTGGGCATCCTGCATGGCCAGGAATGCGTTTGGCACGGCAAGACGTTATGAATATAATATGATATATTCGGAAAATACAGAGCGTTATATCATTCCTTTGCGTATAACTATTGGTCAGTTGAACTCCATGCAACATGCGATTGTAACTGTTGGTCAGTTGCACTCCATGCAACAAGCATGAATCAATTGTGAATTGAATCACCGCATTGTATTTGCCCAAGAAGGCGGGACTCAGCTACTAAGCACAAGTCTATGCAGCTGAGCAATCTCGCATGTCGCTCCCTGAGCCTCACTAAGGGAAGCTTTGCGTGTTCCCGCCTTGCTCCTTAGGTCCCATTGGTAGCAGATGTGAACAAGCAGGGCATCCTCACCTTCGCTGCGCAATCTCCGCTTCCCCTACGTCACCTATACCTTCAACTGGACTAGATCCTCACCTTCATTTGAGCCCGGCTTCGCGACACCAGCCGCCAGCCCAATGGCCTGTCAGAGGCAAGCCTTCGCTACTCCTACATCCTCTTGTTCGGCAAGCCTTCGGTTTCTAGGTTTTGCACGTTTTCGCCGGTTTGGATGATGAGGGATTCCTGTGTCTGTGATGCCGCTTTTGCGGCCCGTTTTTCTGATTCTTGTCGGTGCACCCAGGGCGCGACCCCTCCCGCCCGGGCACGACCCTCCCCTATTTTGGGCCGTTGCCGGCTGGCCTTTTGTCTTCCTTAGGTCCAAGCTGCCTGCCTGCCTGCCTCCCTGCCCTGCCCTGCCCTGCCCTGCCCTGCCCTGCCCTGCCCTGCCCTGCCCTGCCCTGCCCTGCCCTGCCCTGCCCTGCCCTGCCCTGCCCTGCCCTGCCCTGCCCTGCCCTGCCCTGCCTGCCTGCCCGTTTGTTTTCGTCCTCGTTTGCATGCTGATTGTTTTCTTGGTTGTTTGTCTGCCGTGCCTTCTTGCTTGCCTTCTTGCTTGTTTGCTTGTTTTCCTGCATCTCTGCGTGCCTTGCCTGCCTGCCTCCTTGTCTGTTAGCTTATCCTGTGTGACTGCTTGTCTGCTTTTCTTTCTCCTGCCTGGAGCCTGTGTGTGTGTGTGCCTGCTTTTTTGCTTGCTTGTCTGTCTGTCTGTCTGTCTGTCTGTTTGTTTGTTTGCATGTATGTATGTATGTATGTACTGTATGTATGTATGTATGTATGTATGTATGTATGTATGTATGTATGTATGTATGTATGTATGTATGTATGTATGTAATGTATGTATGTATGTATGTATGTATGTATATGTATGTAATGTATGTATGTATGTATGTATGTATGTATGTATGTATGTATGTATGTATGTATGTATGTATGTATGTATGTAATGTAATGTATGTATGTATGTATGTATGTATGTATGTATGTATGTATGTATGTATGTATGTATGTATGTATGTATGTATGTATGTATGTATGTATGTATGTATGTATGTATGTATGTATGTATGTATGTATGTATGTAATGTATGTATGTATGTATGAATGAATGAATGTGTGTATGTAATGTATGTAATGTATGTATGTATGCATGCATGCATGCATGCATGCATGCGTGCATGTATGTATGTATGTATGTATGTATGTATGTATGTATATATGTATATATGTATGTTTTGTTATGTTATGTATGTATGTACGTGTGTATGTATGTATGTATGTATGTATGTGTCAAGAGATAGCAAGATGACGTCCCGTGGGACGCTGTCCACCAAGCTTCCAGCTGATTGTACTCAACCACGTAGAAAGGATATACGGCCAAACCGATACAGCCAAACCAGTGCAAACTGTTGTAAGGGGTATTGTCCAATAACCGCAAACACACACCCAATATCAGCGGCGCGAGCGAACCTGTTTTCTCTCACACAGATCGATCACAGGCGAACGTAGTTCATGCAAGACCTTGAGCCCTACTTGTAACTTGAGCCAAATGTGGCATCCAATGGAACATCTCAATCAACAAGAACATGGACCTCACAACGGCTTCCCAATTTAGGCACGGGGCCAGGAGGGTTTTAACATCCCCCATTTGGGTCGCACTGTTCATCATGCGGCCCAAACATCACAACAAGTTCCAATGGCCACGGCTCCGACTACGAAACCGTGTCGAACATTCTTTCCCTCACTACTGCAACGCCGTTCATTCATTGTGAAACTCAGCCGGGTTCGATTAAATCAAAACACGTATCCGCAGATCACAGCACATTCCTATACACAGAGGCATGAGGCATTATACCTCGCACCACAACGCAGCCATCGAAGATCCCAGCTGCCGCATTTGCGCATCGCGCAGCTGTCATCCATGGAAATGGGTTGGCCGAAGAATTCCATAGCAGCGCATGATTGTAAGCCATCCGTATATCACCGGCAAAGAAAATGGCGAGCAATATGTATGCAAAATAGTCATTCCAGATACCACGAATAACATAAGGGAATGAAATCACCCATGAGGTAATAGTGCCCATTCATGAATATCCGGAATGCCATAGTCGTCGGAATATGTAAACACATACATAAACATGGCCCTTGGACAAACGAATCACATCATATCGTAATTCATCCCATCGTAGTGAAATCAATATGTTGCTGGCGATGGATGGGGTCTGGCCCGCACCATGCCGTAAAAGCAACGATGATCCACCGCATAGTAGAATCAACATGTTGCTGGCAGTGGATGGGGTCTGGCCCGCACCATGCCGTAAATGCAATGTTGATCCACTTCTGCATCACACAGGTCGGTCCACAATGGCCAGCTTAGTGATGCGTCGACGGAATTCCTCGTCCAAGTTGTGTTGGGCGTCTCGTGCTCGGGCATACTTCTTGTAGTGCTTGTCCGCAAGCCAATGTCCCTTCCGGATGCACCAATCGAGCAGAGGTCCGTCACATTTGCCCGGGTCAGTGGCCGCAATAATAGCGCTCACATCGACCACATATCCATGTCTACCAAGGTTTAGCCCGGTCCTTGCGAAAGATATGTACTTGCAGTTGAATGCCAGAGAGCAGCACCTGTAAACGATGTCTCCCACTGGATGCCTTCGTTCGCTGACCAATAGCTTCATTTCCTCCTTGGTGATGTCGAGGATCTTCGCTGCAATCCACAATTTGTAGAAGATGTACAGCCCATTACATTTGAGCGCCAAGTAGCGAATGTATTGGTTGCGCTCCTCGACCGTCCTGAAAGTCCTTGTTCGAACATTCTGAGAACGTGATATCGCATCCTCAGATGATGGCAACACAACACCATCACGATCAAGTTCTTTGACGTTGGGATAGCGTGCCAAGTCGTTGTGGTATGGACGCGCGGGAGCTCCTCTGAGGGCGGCGTCAATTGTTCGCTTTTCGCCAGCCTCAAACATCCCCCACAACCTTGACATTTGCAGCGCGCCATGTATTGAGCCTCACGTGGCTCATCCATGCAGATTGCCATCCGTTGGGAGTTGATGATGTCCCGAGCGGCCATGTCATTGTCGCGGTAATCCCAATCGTTGTCTTCCTCTTCGGACACGTTGCCGGATGTGTAACCCTGCGTGCCCATAATCATCATCCTCGGGATCATCTTCCATTCCACCATCCTTCTCTTGTGCTGCCGCATTGTCGTTTGCTTCCTCCTGCGCCCGCCTGGCGTCTCCGGACACGTTGGGTTCGTGATCGTCATCATCGTCACCCGAGCTGACGTTGACACGGAATCTGCCAGTAGTGATCAATTGCGCTTCGCACTCCAGGCATGTACAGAAGCATGTAGGAATCGCAGCTGCACAAAAGACAAATTCGGCATCTGAGGCCTTCCCAAGTCTCGTCATTCAGGATGATGGTTTTGCTGATCTCATCTCTGATCTCGTTGGTCAGGGTTTCCAACTCTTGATGTTGGCCGCCTCGAAACAGCGTGCAGGCACGATCCACCATCTCTTGGACGTAGTGCAGATTGTCGGCGCCCGCCTCTGTTTCCGGCGATCCCTCGATGACCTTTGCAATTCTGAAGGAACATCAGGGCCGACTCTTGGGATGAGCCAACGAAACCAGGACAGATCTCATTCTCGACGCACTTCGAGTACGCCCGCTTGACGTCCTCGATGTCCAGGCATTTCCCATGATTGCACTTGCCGATCCAAATGGACTTGACTTCATAGAACGGGATAACATCGAAAACCATAAACGGTTGCACTGGGAATGTAGATGATTGCGATCGGATCCCCAACCCGCAGGTTGCGTAGCGTCGTCTTCGTCGCCAAGTTCATCTTGTCCCATGGGGCGAATGCCCCGAAGTGCAATGCCAATCTGTTCCCGCCACCGATTCCGCTGGGGACTAGCCCGCAACGTACGATGCCTGGCAGGTTTTCCACATATGTCACATGGAATGCGCAAGGGAGTCACCCATCCTTGCGGAATACCTATTCGCCAGTGCGGATGAGCTCATGAATCCAAAGTCACTGTGACCAGTTGTGGCCCGGATGCACCAAGGTCTGACCCATCCATCGCATCTGCCGAATATCGCGTCGATCTCACCCTGATCGTGATTCATGTAGGCCAGCTCCTGTCTGGCGGCCCTCGCGTCATTCGGGTTCATGATGCTCGGAAACCTCGCTGCTAGGATCTGAAATCTCGATTTCTTGTATCCAGACTCCTGCCACTTGATCACCTCCATGATGCCCATGTAGCGTCTCGCTTTCGAAGTCTTCGGTGGGAATATGTTCACCCCACGGTCGTCGATGATTGCGTCTATATCGACCCACCCACCTTCGTCACACTTGAAAGCACTTCCTCGGCAATTGCCGATCTTGTGTCGAAGGATTCTGCAAAGGTCGTGAGATAGCTGATTAGCTTGCTCTCTCGCCCCGAACACAGAATACTCATCACCAATTTTGCAAAACGCAGCGTCATTGAAGGGGTAAAAAATGCAGAAGTTGATGCTCTTGCCAAGCTGTTGTACATCGATCTGCTCCAAAATGGCGCCCTTGGGGAAGAATTTGGGATCTGTCATCGAAGCGTACGCCCATGGCATTTCGACGCTACTCACGTCACCAAACCTTGGGATGTAACACGGGATGGTATCGCATCCTCGC